TCAAAAGAAAAAAAAAAGTTCAAACAGACTGGAGGAGCATCTGTGGAAGAAACAGAGTAAAACCACAGAAACCAGCATCTGTAGAACCAGCATCTGTAAAACCAGCATCTGTAGAACCAGCATCTGTAGAACCAGCATCTGTAGAACCAGTATCTGTAGAACCAGCATCTGTAGAACCAGCATCTGTAAAACCAGCATCTGTAGAACCAGCATCTGTAGAACCAGCATCTGTAAAACCAGCATCTGTAGAACCAGCATCTGTAGAACCAGCATCTGTAAAACCAGCATCTGTAGAACCAGCATCTGTAGAACCAGCATCTGTAAAACCAGCATCTGTAAAACCAGCATCTGTAAAACCAGCATCTGTAGAACCAGCATCTGTAGAACCAGCATCTGTAAAACCAGCATCTGTAGAACCAGCATCTGTAGAACCAGCATCTGTAGAACCAGCATCCGTAGAACCAGCATCTGTAGAACCAGCATCTGTAGAACCAGCATCTGTAAAACCAGCATCTGTAGAACCAGCATCTGTAAAACCAGCATCTGTAGAACCAGCATCTGTAAAACCAGCATCTGTAGAACCAGCATCTGTAAAACCAGCATCTGTAGAACCAGCATCTGTAGAACCAGCATCTGTAAAACCAGCATCTGTAGAACCAGCATCTGTAGAACCAGCATCTGTAAAACCAGCATCTGTAGAACCAGCATCTGTAAAACCAGCATCTGTAGAACCAGCATCTGTAAAAACCAGCATCTGTAGAACCAGCATCTGTAGAACCAGCATCTGTAAAACCAGCATCTGTAGAACCAGCATCTGTAGAACCAGCATCTGTAAAACCAGCATCTGTAGAACCAGCATCTGTAGAACCAGCATCTGTAGAACCAGCATCTGTAAAACCAGCATCTGTAGAACCAGAATCTGTAGAACCAGCAGCTATAAAACCAGCATCTGTAGAACCAGCATCTGTAGAACCAGCATCTGTAGAACCAGCATCTGTAGAACCAGCATCTGTAAAACCAGCATCTGTAGAACCAGCATCTGTAAAACCAGCATCTGTAGAACCAGCATCTGTAGAACCAGCATCTGTAGAACCAGCATCTGTAGAACCAGCATCTGTAAAACCAGCATCTGTAAAACCAGCATCTGTAAAACCAGCATCTGTAGAACCAGCATCTGTAGAACCAGCATCTGTAGAACCAGCATCTGTAGAACCAGCATCTGTAGAACCAGCATCTGTAAAACCAGCATCTGTAGAATCAGCATCTGTAGAATCAGCATCTGTAGAATCAGCATCTGTAGAACCAGCATCTGTAAAACCAGCATCTGTAAAACCAGCATCTGTAGAACCAGCATCTGTAGAACCAGCATCTGTAGAACCAGCATCTGTAAAACCAGCATCTGTAAAACCAGCATCTGTAAAACCAGCATCTGTAGAACCAGCATCTGTAGTAGAACCAGCATCTGTAAAGCATCTGTAGTAACCAGCATCTGTAAAACCAGCATCTGTAGAACCAGCATCTGTAAAACCAGCATCTGTAAAACCAGCATCTGTAGAACCAGCATCTGTAGAACCAGCATCTGTAAAACCAGCATCTGTAAAACCAGCATCTGTAAAACCAGCATCTGTAAAACCAGCATCTGTAAAACCAGCATCTGTAAAACCAGCATCTGTAAACCAGCATCTGTAAACCAGCATCTGTAAAACCAGCATCTGTAAAACCAGCATCTGTAAAACCAGCATCTGTAAAACCAGCATCTGTAGAACCAGCATCTGTAAAACCAGCATCTGTAGAACCAGCATCTGTAGAACCAGCATCTGTAAAACCAGCATCTGTAGAACCAGCATCTGTAAAACCAGCATCTGTAAAACCAGCATCTGTAAACCACATCTGTAGAACCAGCATCTGTAGAACCAGCATCTGTAAAACCAGCATCTGTAGAACCAGCATCTGTAGAACCAGCATCTGTAACCAGCATCTGTAAACCAGCATCTGTAAACCAGCATCTGTAAAACCAGCATCTGTAGAACCAGCATCTGTAAAACCAGCATCAGTAGAACCAGCATCTGTAGTGAACCAGCATCTGTAGAACCAGCATCTGTGACCAGCATCTGTAGAACCAGCATCTGTAAAACCAGCATCTGTAGAACCAGCATCTGTAGAACCAGCATCTGTAGAACCAGCATCTGTAGAACCAGCATCTGTAAAACCAGCATCTGTAGAAACCAGCATCTGTAGAACCAGCATCTGTGTATCTGTAAAACCAGCATCTGTAGAACCAGCATCTGTAGAACCAGCATCTGTAGAACCAGCATCTGTAAACCTGTAGAACCAGCATCTGTAGAACCAGCATCTGTAGAATCAGCATCTGTAGAACCAGCATCTGTAAAACCAGCATCTGTAAAACCAGCATCTGTAGAACCAGCATCTGTAGAACCAGCATCTGTAGAACCAGCATCTGTAAAACCAGCATCTGTAAAACCAGCATCTGTAGAACCAGCATCTGTAGAACCAGCATCTGTAAAACCAGCATCTGTAGAACCAGCATCTGTAGAACCAGCATCTGTAGAACCAGCATCTGTAAAACCAGCATCTGTAGAACCAGCATCTGTAGAACCAGCATCTGTAGAACCAGCATCTGTAAAACCAGCATCTGTAAAACCAGAACCAGCATCTGTAGAACCAGCATCTGTAGAACCAGCATCTGTAGAACCAGCATCTGTAGAACCAGCATCTGTAAACCAGCATCTGTAAAACCAGCATCTGTAGAACCAGCATCTGTAGAACCAGCATCTGTAGAACCAGCATCTGTAGAACCAGCATCTGTAGAACCAGCATCTGTAGAATCAGCATCTGTAGAACCAGCATCTGTAAAACCAGCATCTGTAAAACCAGCATCTGTAGAACCAGCATCTGTAGAACCAGCATCTGTAGAACCAGCAGAAGGCCAGTCCCACCAGGGACTGGCCTCCTGCTGGGACTCTGAGGAGCACAGGGACTGGTCTCCTGCTGGGACTCTGAGGAGCACAGGGACTGGTCTCCTGCTGGGACTCTGAGGAGCACAGGGACTGGCCTCCTGCTGGGACTCTGAGGAGCACAGGGACTGGCCTCCTGCTGGGACTCTGAGGAGCACAGGGACTGGCCTCCTGCTGGGACTCTGAGGGACTATTTTCTCCCAAACTTTCCCAAACTTCTTTCTTGTTTGTTTTTCTAAAGTCGACCATTTCAAATCTGTTCAAAAATAAAGTAGCTTTGACGCTAATCCGACAATGACGCTAAGCTAACGCTAACTGCAAAACTTGTCCTTGGATTATCACGGATTATGAAGCATCCAAATCCAAATCTGAGGCTGAGCGCAGGTAATTTCAGAAAAGTCACATTACTGCCTTTTTGTTCAGTCGTTTCAGACTTTTAGAGAAATGCACGGAGCCTCTCGAAAGTATTGAAACACGCTGAACTCTTGCACATTTTGTCTGGTTTTTATTCAGATTTTTCACGAGTAACAGACAAAGTGTGCAAAGTGAAAGTAAAATGACAAATTATTCTGTTTTGGTTCCAGGAATAGAAAAGTGAAAAGTTAAGTCTGCACAAGTATTTATACAGATTTTTAAGTGTGTTAAAACAGTCCAGATGACTGCTGAATGATCTATGGTCTCTCTCTCTCTCTCTCTCTCTGCTCTCTCTCTCTGGTCTCTCTCTGCTCTCTCTCTCTCTGGTCTCTCTCTCTCTCTCTCTCTGGTCTCTCTCTGGTCTCTCTCTCTGCTCTTTGCTCTCTCTCTCTGGTCTCTCTTTGATCTCTCTCTGGTCTCTCTCTGCTCTCTCTCTCTCTGGTCTCTCTCTCTCTCTCTGGTCTCTCTCTCTCTGGTCTCTCTCTCTGGTCTCTCTCTCTGTCTCTGCTCTCTCTCTCTGATCTCTCTCTCTGGTCTTTCTCTCTCTGTCTCTGCGCTCTCTCTCTCTGGTCTCTCTCTCTGGTCTCTCTCTCTGGTCTCTCTCTGGTCTCTCTCTCTGGTCTCTCTCTCTCTGTCTCTGCTCTCTCTCTCTCTGGTCTCTCTCTCTGGTCTCTCTCTCTGGTCTCTCTCTGGTCTCTCTCTCTGGTCTCTCTCTCTCTGTCTCTGCTCTCTCTCTCTCAGCTCTCTCTCTCTGCTCTCTCTCTCTGGTCTCTCTCTGGTCTCTCTCTCTCTGTCTGTCTCTCCTCTCTCTCTCTCTGGTCTCTCTCTCTGGTTTATCTCTCTCTGGTCGCTCTCTCTCTCTCTCTGCTCTCTCTCTCTGGTCTCTCTCTCTGGTTTATCTCTCTCTGGTTGCTCTTTCTCTCTCTCTCTGCTCTCTCTCTCTGCTCTCTCTCTGGCCTCTCTCTGGTCTCTCTCTCTCTCTCTCTCTCTGCTCTCTCTCTCTGCTCTCTCTCTCTGGTTTATCTCTCTGGTCTCGCTCTCTCTCTCGGGTCTCTCTCTCTGGTTTATCTCTCTCTGGTCGCTCTCTCTCTCTCTCTGCTCTCTCTCTCTGGTCTCTCTCTCTGGTTTATCTCTCTCTGGTTGCTCTCTCTCTCTCTCTCTGCTCTCTCTCTCTGCTCTCTCTCTCTCTGGTCTCTCTCTGGCCTCTCTCTGGTCTCTCTCTCTCTCTGCTCTCTCTCTCTGGTCGCTCTCTCTCTCTTCTCTGCCTCTCTCTCTCTCCTTCAGTGATAGCTCTGCCTCTCTCTCTCTCTCTCCTTCAGTGATAGCTCTGCCTCTCTCTCTCTCTCTCTCCTTCAGTGATAGCTCTGCCTCTCTCTCTCTCTCTCCTTCAGTGATGGCTCAGTCTCTCTCTTCTCTGCCTCTCTCTCTCTCTCCTTCCTTCAGTGATAGCTCTGCCTCTCTCTCTCTCTCTCTCTCTCCTTCAGTGATGGCTCAGTCTCTCTCTTCTCTGCCTCTCTCTCTCTCTCCTTCCTTCAGTGATAGCTCTGCCTCTCTCTCTCTCTCTCTCTCTCCTTCAGTGATGGCTCAGTCTCTCTCTCTCTCTCTCCTTCAGTGATGGCTCAGTCTCTCTCTTCTCTGCCTCTCTCTCTCTCTCCTTCTCTGACATTTGGATCGTGTCTTGTGCTGCTGTTGTAAACTTTACCTGTTGTGTTTGTGGATAATGGGTTTTGGGATTTTGTGATGAAGTGACAAAGTAGTAATCCACCCCGTCTTATGTCCCGACCCACGCTCTCTCGCTCTCTCTCTCTCTCTCTCTTTCTAACCCCGACATAACTTTCCAAGATGCTATTATGCAAATCAGAAAAGTTTAGCAATGCATAGGAAAGACCAGGCGAGTCTGACACAAGATAAATATGTTTTGGAAAGTCCGGGAATTTTGGTTAATCAAAGTTTTGGGCCTATCTTAAATCACTGGTGCCAAATCTGTCAAGGCTTTAGTTATGTAAAAGTGGGTGTTTTGACCCATTCTTCTGCATCCACGGGAATAATCAAATGTGAAATATCTGCTGTCATTTGCCAGACCACAAACTAGAGGGAGCAGAGAGAGAGACCAGAGAGAGAGACCAGAGAGAGAGAGCATAGAGAGAGAGCAGAGAGAGAGAGACCAGAGAGAGAGGCCAGAGAGAGAGGCCAGAGAGAGAGGCCAGAGAGAGAGACCAGAGAGAGAGAGACCAGAGAGAGACAGACCAGAGAGAGACAGACCAGAGAGAGAGGCCAGAGAGAGAGACCAGAGAGAGAGAGAGACCAGAGAGAGAGAGACCAGAGAGAGAGGCCAGAGAGAGAGAGAGACCAGAGAGACCAGAGAGCAGAGAGAGCGAGACCAGAGAGAGAGAGCAGATAGAGAGAGCAGAGAGAGAGAGCAGAGAGAGAGAGAGCAGAGAGAGAGACCAGAGAGAGAGACCAGAGAGAGAGACCAGAGAGAGAGAGACCAGAGAGAGAGAGACCAGAGAGAGAGAGACCAGAGAGAGCAGAGAGAGCGAGACCAGAGAGAGAGAGCAGATAGAGAGAGCAGAGAGAGAGAGCAGAGAGATAGAGCAGAGAGAGAGACCAGAGAGAGATAGACCAGAGAGAGAGGCCAGAGAGAGAGAGACCAGAGAGAGAGACCAGAGAGAGAGAACAGAGAGAGAGACCAGAGAGAGAGACCAGAGAGAGAGAGACCAGAGAGAGAGGCCAGAGAGAGAGACCAGAGAGAGAGAGACCAGAGAGAGAGGCCAGAGAGAGACCAGAGAGACCAGAGAGAGACCAGAGAGAGACCAGAGAGAGAGAGACCAGAGAGAGAGGCCAGAGAGAGACCAGAGAGACCAGAGAGAGACCAGAGAGAGACCAGAGAGCAGATAGAGAGAGCAGATAGAGAGAGCAGAGAGAGAGAGCAGATAGAGAGAGCAGAGAGAGAGAGACTAGAGAGAGAGACCAGAGAGATGCTCCAGTGTGTTCTGGACTTTCCATCTGTTGTTCCACCTACAAACTTACTAAAGGCTATACCTATGTAGACACAGGGAGAACATGCAAACTCCACATGACCCACCTGGAGGGATATGAATCCAGGTTCCACTCTGCCACAAGACCAGGATTCTAACGTTTGGTTTCTCTCTGGTCTCTCTCTCTCTCTCTCTCTAGTCTCTCTCTCTGGTCTCTTTCTGGTCTCTCTTTCTGGTCGCACTCTCTGGTCTCTCTCTCTGGTCTCTCTGTGGTCTCTCTCTGGTCTCAGTCTCTCTCTGGTGTCTCTCTCTGGTCTCTCTCTCTCTGGTCTCTCTCTCTCTGGTCTCCCTCTCTGGTCTCTCTGTGGTCTCCCTCTCTGGTCTCTCTCTCTGGTCTCTCTCTCTGGTCTCCCTCTCTGGTCTCTCTGGTGTCTCTCTCTGGTCTCGGTCTCTCTGGTCTCTCTCTCTCTGGTCTCTCTCTCTCTGGTCTCCCTCTCTGGTCTCTCTGTGGTCTCTCTCTCTGGTCTCTCTCTCTGGTCTCTTTCTGGTCTCCCTCTCTGGTCTCTCTGTGGTCTCTCTCTGGTCTCGGTCTCTCTCTGGTGTCTCTCTCTGGTCTCTCTCTCTCTGGTCTTGGTCTCTCTCTGGTTTCTCTCTGTTCTCATTCTTTCCTTCAATACCTTTGTCATTTCAGTTTTGCTTGAACATTTTCCATTGCTATTATTAATGTTAGCATTGCTAACATGCTAACAGATGCTACCCCCTCCACTCTGTCTGGCCCATGCTTTCCTTAATAACTACCTGTGCCAGGAACAAAGGGCCTGGAAACGGAGGAAAGTTGAATGAAATACCTGGAGGTGTGTCCTTTTATCAGCCCATTCAAACCAGAAGCATTCATCCACAAAATCCAACGTCTTTCCTGGTTTTTGTCGCCGCGGACGCCTCCTTTAGCGGAACTGAAAAGACAGACGCTGCCGGGAATAATAGTGAAACAGAACACCCTCTAATGGCTTTAGGGAGGATTTGGAAGGAAAGAAAGAAGACATTGGTGTTAAAAGTGCTGTGGATGAAACGATAGAGAGGTATGAGGACATGGCTTGGCTTGATTTAAAAAAAAAAAAACGTCCATAATGAGGATAAAAGAAGATTCCTTTACAGGTTAACTTTAAGAAGTTTTTTTTTCGGAGAAAGTCAAATGTATAAAGCAAGAGACAAATTGAATCAGGATCTGTGGATTACACAGAGTTACGTGTGTGGTCAAATTGTGTATATTTTAGTTTTAGAGGCCAAAATCTATCCAATTAGATCAGGTATGTCCAAACTCAGGCCCATGGGCCAATGGCGGCCCTCAGTGTCATTGTGTGTGGCCC